AGTGAGACTGCATCTCAAAAACCCTAGGGACACAGGGCTGCCCCAGTGGTTGTACAGATTGCAGTCTCTGAGAGGGCGAATTGAGAAAGGACAATAATTAAGCTTAAATAAAGCTCATAAGCCATTTGCCAAGCCCTGTGGCCTCACTCAGCTGCATCAGCCTGGAGGAAGTGGCAACTTTTTTCTAATTGGTGTGTTTAAGTCTTTTTGTGATTTGACTGCCCCAAAGTGTTACACTTTTTAATGTATATAAAATGTCATTGTGCTAATGATGGTCCTAGGACACAGAATTACTTTGGCACTCAGTACAGGAAAAGCGTCAGAAAGTGAAAACCTAATAACGACCATGCTTGGTGGGTGGCTCATGCCTATAATCCCTGCACTTTGTGAGGCTGAGGCAGGTGGATCACCTGAGGTCAGAAGTTCGAGACCAGCCTGGCCAACATGATCAACCCATCTCTACTAAAAATACAAAAAATTAGCTAGGCATCGTGGCACGTGCCTGGATTCCCAGCTACTCAGAAGGCTGAGGCAAGAGAATAGTTTGAACTTGGGAGGCAGAGGTTGCAATGAGCCAAGATTGCACCATTGCACTCCAGCCTAGCAACAGAACGAAACTCCTTCTCAAAACGATAAATAAATATGAAATAAAATAAAAATAAGATATGAAGGAGGGAGGGAAGGAAACTTTATAAACAAATAGGTTTGGGTTTCTTTGTTGTTTTTGATGATACCAGCTCTATCATCTACCTCCAACATTTCCCTGTTTAAACAAAAGTTATAAACTAACCTGTTGGTCCGCCTTACTCCCTAAATTTAATTTTAACTGACTCCCTGTTTCCTAAAGTAAAATAACCACTAAAACAGCAATGATTATCCACTATGGATATAGGATTATCCGCTACAAGGTGGAATTATTATAAATTAGGTGTGTCAGAGCCGGGCAGGGTGGCTCACGCCTGTAATCCTAGCACTTTGGGAGGCTGAGGTGGGTGGATCACCTGAGGTAAGGATTTCAAGACCAGCCTGGCCATCATGGTGAAACCCCATCTTAAAAATAAATAAATAGGCCGGGTGCGGTGGCTCACGCCTGTAATCCCAGCACTTTGGGAGGCCGAGGCAGGT